ACTGCACTTGACAATAAATTTTATTGTAGCTCTACGCACACCACATACACAAACACACACACACACAAACACCACCTCGCCGGCGTCTGTCTTTGGTGTATTTTTAGCTTAATTGTGAATGGAAAGTTGGGCGTGCTGATGTTTCTATGTGCTGACATATAACTGGGTGGAGGCCACCCTTGACTCGGCTGCCTTTGGTTAATTGTGCGAAATTCATTCATATGGAAAATTTGCTAGACTGTAACCACCGAAGTCATAATTATGCGATTGGCCTGTGCATGTGAATATATATGTATACCAGTGTTGGCAAACGTTTGACAGGTGGCGCAGGCAACTGTCAGCTTGCTACTCGTTACTCGCAGCTAGTGACTCGTTACTCGCTATTTGCGCTTCATAATTACAATTCTTGCTATTTTAACGGTATTCTTGGCAATTTCACTTTTGCTTCGCTTAGCTCAACTCGTATTCTGTCAATAGTCCGCAGGGCATGGCGAGGCAAACTTTCAAAATTTAACGCTCTGCACAATGGAGCTTGGGTCAGGGCATTTTTTGTACTGGCAGCAGAACAATTACAACTAGCGAATCCTCGGGCGTGCTGAGCTGGTCCGGTCTGGGCTGAGCTTATGCAAACAGGAAACGCATAATGAACACGCGGCATAGGCGGTCCGGCAACGCCGTCAGCGGCACACTGACTCACTCCGGCTCTCGACAATGGCTACAGACATTGCGCTGACTCCGACTTCGACGCCAACTGACTCCAACTGGCTTTCATTCATATTTGAGCGGTTTCGTGGTTAACAAGCGCTTCCTTATCCTTATTATTTTAATGCCTGCGGCTGCATTTCATCTTACTTACTTTCTACCCGAACTTTTTATAGCATTTTCCATGGGATTTTCCTTGCTCTGTGTTGCTTAAATATTTCAACTACCGCACGTCGCAGTTACTGCTAGTTCTGGAGTGTCTGTCTCTCCCTCGGTCTGTCTCTGCTGTTTGGGCTTTGTGCGCATAATTGGGGTTAACTACGGCCAGGTGCGGCAGCCCAGGTGCAGTTATGGCCCCACCCCCCATACCAAATTCCGACTGCAATGGGCGCCCAGGAAGTGGAGGAAGCGCCTGGCACGCCGCCGCCCATTGTGCCAAAGTGTGCTAAAAAGGAAAAGTAAAATTTTTGCCGCACTTATAAATTGTCGGGCTGAAGTTCTCTTATTTGGTTTTCCCATTTTTTGTTTGCATTTCATTATTTAATTCGCTCTATGCAATTAACGGGAATTGAAAGTGAAATTTGCAGTAAAAGTATGGAATTTGCTTGAGCTAAACTAAAACATTTTCTTTTTGTGCCCCAACAAATTTTCATTTAAAAGTCAACAAAGTTGACACGCAAAATTGTTAAATTCAATTTCCAAAAAGTTTTTCTTTTATTTCTGTTGGCAACACATTCACAAGGGAGGCGTGGCAGTGGCCGTGTTGACACGCCACGCACACTCACACTCACACACACGTGCTTATCATCTCCCATAGTCTCTCAGGCATTCCGTTTTCCATGGCCATTTTACCGTACACAATCCCATTCCCATACCCGTTTCCGTTCCTGTTCCATTCGTTGACTCATCATCAATTCAGTTGATAATTATTTTTACGCGACGCAGCGAGTGCATTAAAAATGCAAATGGCAACACTTTGCCACTTTGATGGAAACCCGGCCGCGTTGCCAGTGTTGTCACGTTGCTGTTTTATTAATTTATTAAATTAAAAAAACAAAGCGCAAAAGGCGCAACGACAGCGCATTCGCATCTGTAATTATAAATTTATGAGGCGGCTTGTAAAAAAGCCAAATAAATAAAACAAGCAAGAAAGTTGCTGTCGGTAATAATCGACTGCGTAGTACTCGTTCACAATCCAATAACAGCTTAAAACATGATTTTTGCCAAATTAATCCAGGGATATCGCTCGCCCATAGTAAGAGTAGGAATATATATACAAAATGCCTAAAATGTGCAAGATATAGATGCTCCCCACGCGGATATACGCAAGTACATATTCCCAATTTTACCAAATGGAAGGTCGAGTAGCATGATGCATGTCGCATAAAGCCAATATACTCTTTTCATTCTCTGGACGAGTATACAAATAAACAGAAAAATGTGAAAAATAAGTACGAGAAAGAGTTCTGGTTCAGATGGGCACACTGTCAATCGTGTCGCATGAATTATTAATTATTTGATTTTTCGCACACACACGGACAGATATACAGAGAGACAGACACACACACATGTGCTCGGCTGCCAACACTCCGCTAGCCAGTGTTGCATTGCGGCAAACGTTGGGCTGTCAGCCACTTTGACAGCCGCATGCAACACTGGATGTCAGATTTGACGTACAGTTGGCGCGTTATTAACAATAACTGTGAGAGGAGCAACGTCGCTCCGAGGCTTACATTGCTCTGCTGAATCCTAATAAAATTATTAACCAAAATGCGCAAAGCGTAACTGACGAGCCTGATTGCTAATAAAAGCAAAATTAGCTTAATCTAATTACCTGTCACACATTATTTCCGTTGCGTAACGAAATCTAAAACTTGCCTTGAAATAATTCAGCTGCGTCGATTTTTCTTCTTTTTTTTTGTTGCCAGAACACTACCATCCGCCCTCTCGAGCAGCGGCTGCTGGGTAGTTGGACAGATATATTGTACATGTCGTATAGAGTAGGTAGTCTCGACTGGACCGTTGCAACCCTGTAGCCCACGCAGTCTTGGTGGTGGTGATGGTGATGGTGATGGTGGCCCCTTTGCTGATTATTATTGTGCGTGCCCTGGGGAATGCCTGCCGTGGCAGTGTCTGCCTGCCCACCGCGCTCCTCCCGCCTGCCTACCTCTGCCTGCCAAGCTGCACATATTTTGCCATTTTGCTCTGTGAATTATTTAGTGCTCAATCGATAAGGCCCAATGCTAAAACCAATGGAATCTTCCTAAGGACGATGCCCTTCCAGCACACACAGTTGCTGACAGTTTATTTGGCAAATTGCTTGCATGTAATATGAAACTTTTTTGTATGCTGGCTAATTTTTAGTTTGCCAATGAGTCACACAGCAAAGGAAACAAAAAACGATATAAAAAGTGTGTGCTAAATCGAAAATCTGAAACACGCGTCACGCATTGCAGGCCATATGAAACGAGGAGCCAAGGGATCAAAACCGAAAACCAAAAGCGTATCACACTAATATGCCATGACTATGACTCACAGATTTTCGTACCTCTCGCTGCTTGATGGCTTATCTACTGCCTGGATCCGGATTTTGCCTCTGCAATTTCCAAATCCATGTTCTGCCCAGCCACCCCTTTTACCCGATCTGTGTGTGTGTGTGTCATCTAACCATATCGAGCATAATTTAAAAATTTTAAATTTGAAAATCTCTTGGCAGAGCACAGAACATAACATTTTTGTTGCATTATAAATCTAATTAGAATATGTGCGCCCCATAGCCGCGCTATGAATATATATGTATGGACATGTGCGTATGACTCTACCTAGCTGCCAGCCCAATCTTTTGGTTATCTCTCATTCCTGGCGCTCATTTCATATGCTCAGCGCATCTGGCCGCATCCGCAACTGAAAATTGCCAATGGCGGCGCCTGTGCGTCTGGGCAATAAATTTGATTTGTTTCAAATTACAGCCAAAAAGCAATGAACAATTTTTATTCAGCAATTTTTTTTTCTTTTTTTTTTTTTTTGGTCTCGTTTTGTTGGCTGCATTTTGTTAAGCCGCCAAATCGAATCTTACTTGCGGTTACTCTCTGCGGGCAATTTTCATAATTTACATAAGCAAATCAAATTGTAAATGGAAATTTTTGTGGAGTATGCGGAAGGGGGGGCAGTAGAAGAGGGGCGTTGGCACCCGCACTTTTATGTCACCAGGAAAAGCAGCTGAAAATGGAACTATGTTGAGTGTCTGACGTAGATTTGTTCGCATTTTATCATCCTTGCCACAAATTGTGTCATCTTTTTACACATTGTTGTTGTTATATGCGTGCTTTGTGCGTCTTTTGTTGTCGATGCGTCAAAGAATTTGGCTCAAGTGATGCTTTAGTTTATATACGAGCTTTGAAATCTGTCCGACTGGAATGGGGGGAGTACATGCCCAGATATATAAGTATATTTGGTATAAGTACCAGCGGCATGTGTGATGTGAATATAGTGAAGCATCAGCTCAGAATTGAGTTGTCAATAAACTGAAATATATTTATGCTATATATGACATGTGATGTGTGCCATTATTTGTGATGGATTTGCTGCAGTATTGGCATTATGATGCAGCACAAGCTATAATGGCTAAGATTATCGAATGTCCCACAAACTGGGCCCTAAACCCGGATTTAATTGGGGTTTCTTACTTGTTTCGACCAAACTTGAATTTCTAATTAAATTAATTAAATTATTTTAAATGCAAAAGAAACCAAAAAAAAAGAAAAAACTTTACACTACACTTATTTCAAGCATTTCACTTCTCAATGCATGCACAGCGGACTGGCTTGTTGCATATAATTTTACTTTTAACAATATCAGCTAATTTGGATAATTTTTATCAGTTTGGCGGGAAGCAAACCCGTATTAAACTGATAAACTAAATGTTAAATAAACGAAGATAAATGAATTTCTATTTAAATTGTACAGTTATATAACGGTATATAGTGAACTGTTGCATTTTGGCCGGCACTGTTTTTTTTTTTTTTAATTTACCAACACTGTTCTGCAACATCCTGCAAATGTCAACACTTGTCACACGGATGACAATTGACTTTCTACGGTTGTGTAAATCGCATAAAAATTTTGTGGAATTGTGAAAAATACTTAAATAATAATCATTGAAAGACCGGGCTCAGTAATCAGCGAACAATACATGCGAAACACCTTATAAACAATGCGAATACGATGATTTTATTGAAAGAAAACACAAGACACTCGGTTTGATTTTCTTTTAAATTTAAATTATTTAATTAATTTTTTTTTATTTTGATTTGTAAAACACGTACGCACACACATCTTTGAATGATCGAACAGTCGAAGTGACAGGGCTGAAGCTTCGGGACTGCTGAAAAGGCGTGTAGATTGCTGTCAAATATTTGCTCATTTTGAGGCACATAAAGAACACACAAGTCTAGAGCAATTTGGTTAAGCACACGCCCGCGCATTAGATTCTATAGGATTTTTAGAAAATTCTGTACTTGCGTGAACATTGAACTATATGTCGTTTAATTTGTAATTGCGCCGCACTGGTAGCAATGTCAACTGCGCTGGCAGCGGCGGCAAGTGCAACCAGCACGGCCACATCAACGCCGCCAGCGACCACAACAGCAACGTCCTCGACAACAACAACAGCTGCAGCAGCAGCGGCAGCAGCATCAACAGCAACAGCAGCAGCTGCAACAGCAGCTGCAGCAGCAGCCGCAGCGGCTGCAGCAGCCGCAGCGGCGGCAGCGACCAACACAAGACCCATGTTGCTGGAACCCTTGCCGCAGTTTGTGGAGCAGTCTACGGCTATAACCTATGCAGAAATCGAGGTCAGCACAAACGTAAGTTCTAGCGAAAAAATTCGAGCTGATGAAATGTGTCCAACACCCGAATACCAACAGCAGCAGCAGCATCAACATCAGCAGCAGCAGCAGCAACAACAACACCAACAACCAGAACAGCAGCAGCAGCAACAACAGCAGCAGGCGTTGAGTGCGGAGACGGACTCGGAAGCTGGCTCGGAGTTTCAATCGGATTACCTCGATCCAAATGAGTTTCCGCTGCCCGGTGCCAGGAGAAAGAAAAAGGTGCACAAAACATTGACGCAAACGTATCCACGTCCGCCGGGCGGCTACAAATACTCGATGGGCTTTCTCTATAGCATTGGCAGCCATATGGCTGGGGTAACGCTCGATATACCTACGCCCACATCGATAACGCCACGAACATTGCGCACCTCACCTCCGCCGCCACCAACTCAGCTGCCGCTGCTGCCCGCCGTCCCGATTGTGCCACGATCTGGCACCAATTCACCTAGCACGGGCTTTGGCGCCGCCGCAGCTGCGGCAGCGGCAGCAGCAGCAGCTGCAGCAGCCGCTACGCCAGCTTCTGGTAATACAAACATGTCGCCGCCTCAGTTCATCTGCCCGGGCTACAGTGGCCCACAGCGGCGTTTGTGGCATGCAGAGAATGCCGTGTGGCAGTTCGATCGCAATTATCCGTACAATCAGGGCTATGCCTCACAGTACGGAATACCCATGATGCCGCTGGGCTTCGATCAACATCCGTATGGAGCGCAGCGTTTCATGTTTCCGGGCTATTATAACCAGACGGCATTGCCACGAGGCGGCTATCGACATGTCTCGCCCAATCTATCAACCGTGGCCGAGCAACAATCGTCTAATGCGGATCAGCATCAGCAGCAACAGCAGCAGCAACAGCAACAGGAGCCGCCACAGGATGGCTATAACAATGGCTATCCGCCTGTGGATCGATTTGGCCGTCCGACAGCACCGCCGCCACGCGAACGTTTTGGGCCAGGACGTCATGCAAATGGTCCGATGTCCTTTGCACGCGAGTCCAAAACATTCTATAATAGCAACGGCAATGTGACCATGGGCGCACCTGGCACACGCATCCGGCATCCATTTGATCCACGCGCAGGCCTGCAGCGCGGCTCGCAACAGCACTCGGCCGTTTCGCTGCACAATGGGCACAATGCTCTGGAGCCGGGCAATATAAATCGCCGCGGCGGCTTTCAGGCCAGCAGCAGCTATCACGCCACAGCGGGCAGGCATCTGAAGCGCTCAAAGAGCCAATTGATTACAGCGCGCAGCTCGCACTCATCCGATTCGGTATCGCCGTCATCATCCAAGACACAATTCGAGCAGCGCGTCGAGACGGCATCCAGTGTGTCCCTGGCCTCGTACAATCATCAGCAGCGCAGCTATCGCAACCGGGCGCGATACATGACCGCCAATGTGGGCATGGAGCTGGTTGGCCAGCCGCATCGTGCCCAGCAGCCAGTTGGAAATTATCAGCCTCCGCTGCGTCGCATGCCAAAGTTCACGGAGATGCAGCGCCAGCATACGCGCTCGTATCACTCGAGGCACATGGAGCATGCTGGCTATCCGGTGGCAATAACGCAATATCCAGAGGCGCATGTCGAGATGGAGGATCAGGACTCGCCAGGCATAACGGCCGCCAGCAGCGGTACCTCGGACGGTGATCATCATCATGAATCAGATTTTGAGCAGCGCAGCCCCGTGGAATATGCCGCAGCGCTCAATCCTGAATTCTCATCGGATGCAGATCCCCAGGTTGGCAACAATCAACAGAATCGCACCAATTGCGGCGATTGCGATAGCCAGTCGTATGCCAGTCTGGAGCCGAGCTCCTCCAGTGACAGCACAGAGAGCGAACAGAGCGATGCCTCGCTGGAGTCCATGGTACGCAAGATCACGATTAGCTGCCTGGCGCTGGCCACCAGCGCTCAAATGCCCGACCTAAAAGGTCCGAATCTGATACCCTTTGGTGATATGCATCATTTGCGAGAGTCTGAGCGCAAGGGCCAACATGGTATTAGGAATGGCTTTAAATGTTCATCACACTGCTGCGGCGATATGCTGGTGGAGCCAAAGACGCAACTTGTCCGAGCCAATGACGCTGATGAGGATAATTGCTCGGAGGCATCGGCTCTATCCTGCAATGCCTCGGCACGTTCCAGTAAAACGGTTCTGGCTGTATCCACTAAGGGCAACATAATTAAGGTAGGCATTTGTTGAAGTTGGCTATTAACTAGGATCTTACAATCACCTCGCCTAGGATGATACACAGGATGATGATCAGCCGCTGACCATGCAGAATCGCTACTGGCACGAATTCTTTGGGTATACGCCAGCGGATCGATTTCTAACACGCGCCAAATTGGTGGAAATGAAGCGTCCACCGCATTCGGTGCCCAGTCGCTCCAAATGGGATCCCCTCACGCTGTCCATTTGGCAAAAGTTTCGCGAGGCGCAACAAACACGACACATATTCAAGACCAAAATGCGTCTCTGGCGTTTCATCTACAAGGTGACCATGGTGGGTATTGCTGCTTCTGTAAGGTCTGAATTCATTGTGTAATCAGAGTAACTGCTAAACCATTCAACAGGCCGTCTATCCCCGCTATGGTGTCTATTTAGTAGGCTCATCAATATCATACTTTGGCTCCAAGTGTTCCGACATGGACATTTGCATGCTCGCCTGCACCAATCCCAATATTGATCCACGCATGGAGGCCGTTTATCATTTACAAATAATGCGCGAAATGTTGAACGCAACCGAACAGTTTCAGGAATTTAATCTGATTGAGGCGCGTGTGCCCATTTTGCGATTTACAGATCGCCGCCACAAGGTGGAGGTGGACATCAATTTCAACAATTCGGTTGGCATACGAAATACACATTTACTGTACTGCTATTCGCAGCTAGAGTGGCGCCTACGTCCCATTGCGCTGACCATTAAACAGTGGGCTCAATACCATAACATCAACAATGCCAAGAATATGACCATATCCAGCTATTCCCTAATGCTGATGGTTATACATTTTCTACAGGCCGGCGTCAATCCGCCGGTGTTGCCGTGTTTGCACAAAATGTATCCGGAGAAATTTTGCATTTTACAGCCCAGTGATTTTGGCTATGTGGATATGAACGAGGTTATGGCCCCGTATCAGTCGGATAACCATCAGACGCTGGGCGAGCTGCTGCTTAGCTTTCTGCACTACTACAGCATCTTTGAGTATGGAAAGTTTGCGATTTCGATACGGGTCGGCGGTGTGCTACCGGTGGAGACATGTCGCGCATCGAAGGCGGTCAAAAATGACATACATCAATGGAATGAGCTGTGCATCGAGGAGCCCTTCGATTTGACCAACACGGCGCGTTCGGTATACGATCCAGATACTTTTGATCGCATACGCGCCATTTTTTTAGCCTCCTATAGTCGGCTGGAGTCTACGCGCAATTTGAACTCAATATTTGAGGACTACGATGGTCCCACCATACAGATGGCACCGCTCACTGAAGATTCGGACAATGAGTCGGGCCACAAGCAACCGAGTGGTACCTCATCCAAGTCAAACAGCGCACAGCCATCGCCCAGGCACAATATGGTCGATAAGGCAACCACAGCTCTCTGGAGTGATATACGCAACAAGGTGGAACAGACCGAGATGGAAACGATTGTGGAGGAGCATGTACAACATTTGACAAACGATGTCAAACCCAAGAAGAATACGCGTGCCCCACAAAAATAAACGAAAACTGCGGCCACTTCCAACACTCCCCACCACGAACAAAAACAAAATATAAAACCCCGAAAAATCCCACCCCCGACCACCCCACCAGCTTTAGACTTGAGCAGCTAATATTAGTGGTGCGCTAATGTTAGGCTGCTGCTCCCAAAAGTGTACTATTTTTTTAATGATCGTAGTTGCTTGTAGCTTGCACCGTAAGAACACTTTAAAATTTTACGTTGGACACTTCACATTTAGATTCTTAAATATTTTAAAGATTCCGTCGCAAGCGGTTGTATCCCACAAACAAAAAAAACTCTAATCTTTCGAAAATGTGGTCGCAAAAAAAGCACTAAAAGCTGAAAACAAGTTTCGCACGGTACAAATACAACAAAAAACATACAGAAAAACCTCCAAGAAAAAAATATATATAAATAATTTTTAAAAAAAAATCCAAAAAAAAATTATAAAATCATAAAAACCCCAAACCAAAAAAATATATATAAATCAAAGCAAAAGAGAGCATAGATATACCTTATAGATAAATAGAGAAAAATATAGGAGCTTAGCAATTTTCAATGCCGCGCACATTTTATACCCTTTATACGAACGCACATTTTCACAGTAAACATCCCTTAAAACACTTTTTATAAAAAACTAACAAAAAAAATGTAAAAAATGCGCTCATGTCTAAACAAAATATGCGAATAGCAGCGGCTAATCCAGAAACCTTTTTGGAATATCCAAAAATAAACTCGTTTTCAAAAAAGACAGCGCTAAAAAAATGTAAAAAACTAACACACAAATAAAAAGTAAAAAAAAAAGAGAATATTTCCTTTATTGACTAAAGAGCTAGGTTTTCAAGATAATATTTATAAATCCTGATATAAATTGATAAATATCTCAAACCGAATTGACTTGAATTTAATCAACTGAACCTTAATTAAAGCTTTTATTTGGTTTGGTTTAGTGAAACTATAGCTTTTTCATTGGATAATTGGTACATCATATATTGCACAATATATATATAACTGGTACACATAAATTTTATATATAGTAAATTTAAATGTCATTGTAATGTGTACAAAATATGAGACACGTTTTGAACCAAAACCCGGATTTACAGGTGTGGAAAACCGCCTAAAACTCGAACCCAATATACAAACATTTTAGGACTTGATACCTAGGCAAGTATCAGGCAAGTGTTCGTTTCACGCACTCAGTGCCAGCTGCAAGCTAGGTTTCAAATAATTTTTCCCCTGAGGCCAAAAATTGTCGCACATGCGGCACCAAATTAAATCACAACTGCATATGTACCCATTCGCCTGGCTGTTGGGGTGTCTGAGTGCGTGGGCGTGGCACTGGCCCGCAGTATATGAATGACAATTTGTTGCGTACATCTGTCGAACACATACAGACACACATGCACATGGGCATCACCAATCGCCATTTTTAGATCCGAAAAATGTCAGTGCATCAAATTATTACATCAAATGCAATGCTCAATTTCAGTTGGTGGTTGGTATTGAGTAATTGATATAATGTCAGACATCGTCGCCCACTTAATGTTCAAATTGTCAACGGGATTAGTGACCATCAGGGTTCGACAGGAGGGGGGTTGCACGGCATTATGTGAACGTGCTCTAATGCCATATCGTTGGCATTGGCAGAGCCAATTGTTGGGCATTGTGCGGACTGTGAGGTGGCATCATTATCATTAACACAGCACAGCATTTCGTAGCTGTCTACCCGATTGTCACATTCATTTCTGCATATGTGCTAAATTTTTGGGTAATTAAACGGAACGGCAAAATCAGCGAACAATTTTTCATTTGTCGTCGCCCAACAATTCACCACCCATCCAAAATGTAATTAATGCGCTCCATTGTTAATAGCAGGGCATTTGCATATTCGCATATTGACAGGACAAAGGATATTCAACACCTAGAGAAATGCCCACTAAAAACAAGTTGAAAGATGAAATTTGCAAAACAAAAGCGTTTACTATGAATGCCACGTTAATGGGAATGGTCTTTCCGTCTTTATGCATTCAAATTAAAATTTGAGTAAAAATTAATTTGGCAGCAATTTGTGGCGGCTCGCCCTTGCTGCAACAGCTGCAGCTGCCATTAAAATTCCGTTTGGCCAAATCCCTTGCCCTAGACTCGAGCTCTGATCTTTGCACAAATAATTACTCATTGTCATTGTAATTGGCGTGCGGGCGTTAAATGGATGCACAGGCGGCACAGACCGGGCCTGAGGCGTGGCATTGTCACAGGCACAGTCACAGTTGGTCAGAGCAGCAGGAGTGGTGGAGAATGACAATCTTTGACATTTTTGCTTGATCCCCTACTAACTTGATTATTTGTGAGCGGTTGTGACCGATGAGTAAGCAGAATAGAATGGCAAAGTTCAAGATACATGTCGACAAGGATGCTAGCACATTGCATATATTTGGGACGCTTTCCTCGATGATTCTCGAATACTTATTGGTCTGTGTGTTGGGAAAAGGGGGATCACTGCGAAGGGTGTTTTATTTATTCTCGTTGTCAAACTGAGCAGAGGGCTTATTAGTTTTAGCCGATGCTCTTCTTGCAGTCTTGAATGATATTCTTGGTCGGTATAAAGAATCATTTGGATTTGTCAGAACAACTCAAATCTAGATATTTTCGTTAGGGTATTTAAGCTTCGGCACTTTGAAGTTACTTTTTTTCATTTATTGTGCTCACATGTGATGGGGCAGCTGCTGATGATCCCCAATGGACGTTGGGTTATATTGTGCGCACGTACTGGAATTTTCATTTTTTTTATGTCATTTCAATTTTCCTGCCTTCGGTTTTTATAGACGCAACGAAAATGAATCGAACGGAAAAAAGGGTTCAATTGAAAGATGCAGCCGCAGCAGCAGCACCAACAGCAAAAACAAGCAATAGCTCGTTGTCTGCCATTTTTGGCTTGGATGTATGTGTGTGTATGTGTGCTTTGCCTTTGGGACTTTGTTGACGTGCCATGAGATATTGTTGCTTGTCTGTTTGTTGTCCACTGTTTTTTTTTTATATTATTTTTTATGCGAGCCTTTTGCTAGCTGGACAAAGTCCAAGCTAACTTGTCCAATCTGGGCCCATTGTGCATTAGTCATGAGCAACAAATTACCTGCGGCATGTGTGAGAAACTCAGTGCCTGCGGGCCATAAGCGTTGACAGCTCTGTGCCGGCCCCTTTGGGCCACAAGTGACCAAGTGTGGTGCGGCGGGAGCTGCTAACAACTCGCAACTGAAACTAATCATTTAATTTTATATTTGTTCTTCTAATTGCAGGTAAGCTTATTACACTGCACTACAAAAAGAACCACAACAACAGCAATTAACAAGTACAGTCAGCGTAAGTGCTTGTCTACAATATTAATTAGTTTTAATGTACTTGTTTAAAGCCCGGCTCTTGTCTGCTTTTTGGCCAGCTGAGCACTTTGCCAAATTAACTAAACACATGCAATTTTAATTTTAAAACAATAAATCATTTGGCAATGTGAGAGGCCTCACGATAAATGTTTTCAACTGCATAATTTACGCACAACGTTTACGCCTACATATGCATATGTATATGTATGTGTGTATGTATATATGTGTTTGTGTGTGTATTGACTTTGCCACACAATTAGAAACACATTAAATATTTAGTACGCCGGCACATGAATTATATGCATAAACATTGTTTTCAGCGCTTTTCGCAAATATTTTTGTTTGCTTAGTCGCTGCCACATGTAAAATCCCTGATTAACGCATTGAACCACTTCATCAAAGATTAAACATAACCCAAAAATGAACACACCTGACATGGAAATTAATTAAATGTGTAAATAAGCGGGGCGAGGCTAGCAAAATTTTATCATTGTGTTGATTTAACTAATTTTTATTTATTTACTCTACCATATATGAATCTAAAAAAATGTGCAATAAAAAAGAGAGCATTAGTTATTTGGAAACAATTTTTGATCTTTGGTAGAGTCTTACGCTAGAAATAAACTACTTTTTCAAGCGCTTTTACATTTACATGTAACTACTTATATTTCCCTTCTTAGCTATCCTTAGGCAAACTAAATCTGTCTAAGGATCCCTTCTGTTTTTCTTCTCTGAATTTCAAAGGCTGATGACACACCAAAGCAGTTTCGAACTTTTATTGCTCCTTGCTTGATATATACCCAAGCCATACGTATATACTCATTTTATGACTCGTTTAGGAATTTTTCAACTATTTATTTTTACTGCTACTATTTTAGCTCTGGCCGTCTAGTTAGATGGTCCGCCTCTTTTGCCATTGGATAACGCCCCTGCAATAGCAGCAAAAATCAATCAGCCAATGTCGCCGTCAATAAAAACGCATAAACCCCGAAAATGTGTGTGTTGCACGCTCTAAGGGCATGTGAAAATACCACACATCGCACTCACACCAACACACACACCCACACAATCCGCTTGGTTCGGCAATCAAGCACATTTATTATGCATTTTTCATATGACAATTTTTTAGCACTTCAAGTAGACCCATTTAAAAGCGACCGCATAAAAAGCATATATATATATATATATATAAATATATATATATAGAATGCTGTTGCAGCCTTTATGTATACACATGACTGAAGTTGTGGTTGTGCAAGCGTGTGTGTGCGTAGCCAAACAAATAAAAAACGCAAATTACCCGCATTTTTTACAAGCATTTTATTGAAAATTGAAATTTATGCGTCGCATCGCGCTGAGTACATTGAGCAACTGAATAACCATAAGCCCATGTGGTCCTTGCCACACACATATCCGTTGCTGATCCCTGTCGTATCGCTGTCATCTCTAGCAGCGGATACTTCACTTGCCACATCGATAAACGTGGCACTTATTGATTTTCGTGCGCTGTCTGCCAACAAATTCATAAATTTAAATGGCCGCTTCACATGCAGCAGAAGGCACTTAAAGTTTGCCACGATGAAGCCACCGAAAACTGAGGCATAAATCATGCAACTGCTTCAAAAGCATTCATTTGTTTACATGCCGCTCCGCCCGTCGCCTTACAACCTGTAACCGGTACCAATGTACCTGTGGCAAAAGGGTTGCAAAGCTTGTGGCATATCGCTTACTCCGTCAAGTCCAGGCTCTCACGCTCACGCCCACAGCCGCCCCTCTCAGCCACACCACGTAGTTGTCCTTTGGCTTTTCACACATTTGCATATCATTTGCTTGGTGGGCGGGTGGCGCAAGGGGTTAAAAGGAGGGCGTGCCAGAGCTGCTTATCGCCGGCGACACTTGCCGCGCCGCATTCAGTTGCCTACAACAACTTGCAACAGGGGCCGAGGCATTTCCGTTGCCTGGGCACGCGCTTGTTAGAAGCGAAGCTCTTAACGATATCGT